CAACCCTTATCTTCCTGCAGCCCTCTCCGAATCCCCCAACTGTCACCACCCCACCCCTACACCACCTCACTACTACACCTCTCCACTGCCACTTACCCCACACCTCCCACCACTGCGCCCCCACACTGGCCCCCAACTCCTCCATCCACTGACTTCCCAACACCCAGTTCCCACAAACCTTCATCCAAATGCGGTTTGGGAGCTCCAGGGTGCTTAGAACTTATGCAGCTTGCCCTGACATTCTTTGCCCCCACACCACCTCACTACTACACCTCCCACCACCGTGCCCCCACACTGCCCCCAACTCCCTCATCCACCGACTTCCTAAAACCTGCTCCCACAAACCTTCATCCAGTTGTGGTTTGGTAGCTCCAGGGTGCTAAGAACCTATGCAGCTTGCCCTGACATCCTTCACCCCACCCCCACGCTCCCCCAAATCCTCACCTCCCACCCTCAACTCCCAACACCCGCCCCCACACCTCCCCCCATGCACTCAAAATCCGACTCCCCACATCACCCCTTCTTCCTCCCACTGCCCCACCTCCCCCCATCCCACCACCAGACCACATCCACTAGGGACCTGGGGAAGCAGAGCCCTGGGCCTCGTGAGCCGCGGCAGGTGGGAGAAGGCGGGGTTTAAGGGAGGCCCAGGGGGAGGAGCGAGGCCCCCCCACCCCAAACCTTGTGCTTTCCTCCTGGCAGCCTCCAGGCGGTGGTCTGACCCGGCTTCCGGATGTCACGTCATTAGTCTTCCGACTGGGAGGCCTGAGGGACGGGACTGCCTCAGTGTCCGAGGACAGATTCAGGTCACCCACAGGGACTCCAGGTAGAACCGTGGGGGAGGCCTGAGGGCCCCCGCCCAAGAATCCAGGGCCCCATGCCGTTGCCCGAGAGGCACTGGGAGGGTCCTCAGGCTGGGCACCGTGACCCGCATGCCATGCCCATGACCCCGCCCGCCATTTTGAATGTGAGCGTGAAGGCCTTGGTCTGAGGAGGGAACCCAGGTGGACAGAGGGCGGGGGTACAGACCCACCAGGGGTGAACGGGAGGCCAGGAGGGAGGGCCAAGGGCGCCACTGGAGCCCACCTCAGGCCCTGGCTTCCATCGCCCTGGGAAACTCCTGGGCCTAGTGACCTGTTGGGACAGCCGCAGACATCACCCAGGAGTGTCTCAGGGCAGCGAGGGCCTTGGTCTGAGGGGACAGGCCCCCATCAACATTCACAGGATCACAGGCCGTGCCCGCGTTGTGGTGAGTACCCTGAGGGAGGAGGGGAAGGGGCCCCAGACGAGCCGCCCCTGCCTGTCAGCCATGGGAGGCCCCGGGGTGGAGTGATGATAGGCGGTGTGCCCTGACTTCCTCCTCCGGGCCTCAGAGGGACTGGGACCGACTTAAGGAGCAGGCCCTCAGGTCATCGGACAGGAGGGCCCAGGCCCTGCTGGGAAGTCATGATGAGGAGCTCGTGGCAGGAGTGAGGGAGTCTGGGCCCCCCGAAAAGAGTCTGCCTGAGAAGCTCCAGGGTGCTCGGAACCTATGCAGCTGACCCTGACTTCCTCATCCGGGTATCACGGGACTGGGGACTTGCATAAGGAGCAGGGCCTGGGGTCGGCAGAGGGGAGGACCCGGGTCCAAATGGGAGGCAAGGTGAGGACCCTGAGGGACACCTAAGGACCGTAGACCCCAAACAGGTAGGGCGGCAGGGCGCCTGGGCGTGGTGTTGGGAGGCCCCAGAGCATGATAAGCACATGAGGTGTTCCCTGTCCCCTGCCGCGAGGACTCTTCCAGAGGTGAGGGCCGTGGTGTGAGGAGTGTGGCTTCAGGTGGACAGAGGGGTGCCCAGGAACGTGGGTGAGGACTGAACGGACCCTGTCTAGGAAACGGGGGACCCGAAGCTTATCTGCCCCTGAGGTCCATCCTGGGAGGACAGGCCAGGTGTCCTCTTTCCTCAGCCCTGGAATGAATAGTGAGCGGAAGCCCTAAGTGACACGCTCCTTCGTCGCATGGGCGGGAAGGGGGAGAGTCCCCCGGGTCGTGAGGTCTGAGTCTAAGCAGGAGATGCCCACTATGCCCGGTGGGGGCTGGGAGGAAGCGCAGGCCCCGGCAGCGGTGAAGGGATGACCTACGGGAGGCCGAGAGCCCCCCGCAACAGGACAGGGGCCGGCCCTAATGGCAGCCTTTGGGATCCTGCTGGGGTTCAGGGAGTGTGCATGTGGGGCCTCATGACACATCTCTCTGAGTTCTCAGGGAGGTGAGGACCTTGGTCTGTGTGCCCTGGGTCAGGAGGTCTGAAGAGGGGCGGCGGGGCCACAGAGGTAGGAGTCCGGGGTCCTGCTAATACCACGCTGAGGACCCTGGGGGAGCAGGGAGTGTACCCCGATGCCCAGAACCCAGAGAGGGCCGGCCCTGCAGTGAGGCCTGGGAATCCCCGGCAGGGCCTGTCAGGCTGAGCCCCTCCTCGTGTCCCGTCGGTGCTCTCAGGGAGGGGAGGGCCTGTAAGTGACGCCTGGACCCAGGCCAGCTGAGACAGCACCCCAGGCACTCACAGGGGTCTCCATGCCAGGAGCATCGCCAGCCTGGGCCGGGCCTGGGTACGCGTGGTCCCCACACTGCCTGCTGATCCTTTCTGGGCGTGTGTGCCCTGTTCCAAGAGCTTTGTCTCAGGCCAGCATCCGTGGGAGGTGCAGACCCTGAGGGAGCCTGGAGGGGGCAACCCTCCCTGGTCAGGCAGAGACCTCACAGAGGCAGGCCCACCCCTCCTGTCAGCACGGGGCACCCAGGGCTGGGCTGGCAGACCTCACCTGAGAGGCCTGCTCGTGTCCTCTGGCAGGGACTCCAGGAATCCGTAGCTGAAGTCCTGAGGCACCTGTCCTGAGATCGCAGAGCCATGGAGGACCAGGCTGAGCAAGGGGACAAGGTGGGACACCCGACCTGGATGTGTCCCCAGGGCTCTCCCATACTGGACGGGTCCCCTCAGCCTCCAGTCCCTGATCCTTGGGCTCGGCTGGCCCACCACCAGGGCCCCATCATTTCATTCTTTGGGTTCTGCATGGACAGACTGCCCACCCAGCAGGGGAGACCCCTGGGAGGCAGGAGCCCCCATAGCAGAGCCACGGTTTCCCCGGTGCCCACTTCCCACCATCACCCCTGCAGGCCGCCATTCCCCTGAGCAGTGCCAGCATGCCTCTGGGTCCCAGGAGTGTGCAGTGCCCGTTGGAGGAGGCCCAGCAGGAGGCGAGAGAAGCCCAGGGCCTGGAGGGGGCCCAGCCCTCGCCTCAGGATGGGCCAGCCACACTGGGAAGTGAGCCCTGCACCCATAGCTCCAGCAGCCATGGGGACGAGGCCGCAGGGGATGCCGGGGCCTCTCTCCAAGATGCGCTGCGCAGGAAGAAGGTCCAACTGGTGGCCTTCCTGCTCCTCAAGTACCGCGCCAAGGAGCCGACCACGAAGGCAGCGATGCTGGAGCGTGTCGTCCAGGATCACCAGGACCACTTCCCTGACATCCTCAGCCGTGCCTCCTGGTCCTTGCAGCTGACCTTCAACATTGACGTAAAGGAAGTAGATCCCAACAGCCACTCCTATGTCCTGGTCCCCACCCTGGGCCTCACCTGGGATGGGGTGACCGAAGAGCAGCGCCTCCCCAAGACCGGCCTCCTGGCGCTGCTCCTGGGCGTGATTGTCCTGTGGGGAGGCCGGGTCCCTGAGAAGGAAGTGTGGAAAATGCTTAGTGCCAGGGGGGTGTACTCCGGGAAGGAGCACGTCATCTTCGGGGACCCCAGGGAGCTCATCACCAGGGCCTGGGTGCAGGAGCAGTACCTGGAGTACCGGCAGGTTCCCGGCAGGGATCCCGCTCGCTTCCAACTGCTCTGGGGCCCCAGGGCCCAGGCAGAGGCCAGCAAGGTGCAGGTCCTGCTGTTTTTGTTCAAGCTTCTTAGCACACGTATAGGCCCTTTCCTGTGCCCATCTGAGGAGGCTAGGACCAATGAGGAACAGGGTCCCTGAGCAGAGGGGCGGCCAGGCCCTGACCAAGCCCCTGTCAGGCAGGCGCTTCTGCTGGGCATGCAGTCAGGCCCCTTCTGCCTCTGGCCTAGGAGAGAGAGCAGCCAGCGCTCTAAGGAGCGCAGGTTCTGTGCCACGTGGGCTGGAGCCTCTGGGCTCCTGTTTCCCCAACCCCGTGGAAGTGGGTCTGCGTTACCTCTGGGGTGTTTCCCCCTGTTGTTCCTTTTCATAGAAAGGGTGGTTAGCTTCAGCATCTGTTGCTGAATGACATCTATCCCGTTTATGTTGTACAGTTTACCAGTTCAGTGCATTCCTGTTTTTTAGACACATGGGGACACCTTCCATCTGAGTTTGTGACCAGAGCTAGGTCACATGGCATCGGCCTCGCCACTCCCTCCCAAAAGTGATGGAAATTAGCAGTAAAATGGACGGTGTCCCGAAATGGAGAAATAAACGTACAGTTGGTTAATTCTTGCTCCTGATTCCTGCTCATCTGTCACTTTACAAAAATAAAATACATGCAGGCACCTGGATGTGCTTCCTGTGTTCAAGAACCTGGGAGACATGAAGGCTGGCAGTTAAGACCCCTGCTCCCTGGCTCATGATTCCCAGGCACTCCCTGGTCCTGTGCTCACTTGCAGGCCCTGTGTTAGCAGTGGGGTAAGGACGCTCCCCAATCCGCGTAGCGTGATAGTCTTACTACAGTATTTATTGGTTTGTTATAAACGGATATAACTCAGGGACAATGGATGGCAGAGACGCATAGGGCAAACTATGGCCGAGGGTGTGCAGCTTCTGTGCACCCAGAGCATGCCACTCTCCCCAAATCGCCACATGTTCACTGACCTGGACGCTTTCTCAACTCCATCTTTGGGGGTTTTGAGGCTTCATTTCGTAGGCATGATTGATTAAATCATTGGCCTCTGTTGGTTGCACTCAACCTACAGCCCCTCCCTTCCCACAGAGATGGGGGTAGTGCTTTGGGACTGGAAGTTCCAACCCTCTCAATTACATGTTTGATTCCACTGGCAACCAGCCCCCATCCTTAGCTGTGGTACAAAGTCACCTGGTTAAGCAACAAAAGACACCTTTGTTGTTCTCTTTACTTCGAAAATTCCAAGGGATTTAGGAGCTCTGTGCCAGGAACAGGGGTCAAAAACCAAATATCTGGTTCCTATTATAGATCACGTATCACTGGCACATATTTGTCATCGCTGATGAGTCTCTAAGCTCCTCAGTGAACCATATCACCAAGTTTCATGGCTTTACATATTCCTCTCACTGAATGTCCATTGGCTTTGTGATTTTTTGGTGACTGACAGAATGAGGCATATGTGACACTGTTTCTTCTTCTGCTGGGCTTAAAGAAGCCTTGCAGCTTCTGACTTGGTTTCTTGGAATGCTGTCTTCAGCATGTTTGTTCCTTTGAAATGCTCCCTCTAGGGGTAGGCAGCCGCCTCAGGAAGTCTGACTGAGACCTGCGACCTGTAAGGAAGCTCAGGTTAGCTACTTGGTGAGAGATGCCTGGCGACCACCCAACTGTTCCAGCCATTCCAGCCCCCAGGAAACTGAGAATGAAGCCATGTTGGATGTTTAACCAAACTGATACGGAACCTTCAGATGAAAATAAGTCCCACACAACATCTGACTGTAACTGTGTGGGCAGTCTCAGCTGAGCCCACTCAATCTGCAGAACCATCAAATATAGTAATAAATTGTTTTAAGCCATTACCTTTTGTAGAAGTTAGGCAACAATAGATATAACCAGAATACTGACTTCAGCACTGATCCCTTGGTTAACATAGTATCTGCCAGGTTTCTCCACTCTGCAGTTACTACTTTTTCTTTCTAATTGATAAATAATATGTGAGGAGATACTTGAAGATCTCCTTAATGTCTTTTCTTTCATCAAAGTTTCAGCTACCAGTTTTAGTAAGCCAGAATCAAATGTTTCTGTTTGATAGTTGCAAAATCGTGATAAAAACTTCATTTGGTTTTTCTATGTGAATTGGCATTACATAATCTGCTGCAGGAAGAAGCTTTGTCTTATTTTCTTTTTTCTTCTTAGTACATATGCGTGAATTCTTATTTTAGTAAATGAGTTGTAATCTGTTACTAGCATTGTTTATTTTGATGCCCAAATTGTCCCAGAGTTGTCCAGTGGCGCCCATTTCAGCTGGCTCCTTGGTGCCCTGGTAGTTTCTGAAAGCTTCTTTGCTTTTCGGTACGGACTGACGTTTTAGGCTCACCTTGTATATTTCCTGGCCCAGACCTGGTATGTTTTCTTCCCAAAGATGCTGGTTTCTTGTAATAGGAAATGGAGTTTAGAGACCACAGTCTGTGCCAGCATGTCCATTGCTAATGGGTTGGTCATTGTTTATAGGCTTTTGTAATGGATAGAGGTAGGAAATCCTTTTTTTTTTTTTGAAGATAATGTATCATGTGTTCATAGTGATATTTCTAATTCAAATTTAGGAGTATACTGCTTTTTTTGCCCTTTTTAAAAAATGTAAGTATCACTGATAGACAATCTTCCAAATGTACAACACAGTGGTTCCAGTCGCCCACATTATTAAATCCTCACCTCCTCTAGTGTGGTTACTATCTATCAACATATTAAGATTTTGCAGAATCATTGACTATATTCTCCATGCTGTACTACAGTCCCGTGACCAACTTGTACTGTGATTGGGAGTTATCGTGCCCATTTATCCCCCTCAACTTCCTCACCCACCTACCCCAACCCCTCCCCCTTGGTCACCACTAGTCACTTCTCAGTGTCTGTGAGTCCACTGCTGCTTTGTTCATTTTATCTTGCTTTGTTTTTATATTCCAGAAATAAGTGAAATCACATGGTATTTGTCTTTCTCTGCCTCGCTTATTTCACTGAGCATAATACCCTCTAGATCCATCCATGTTGTTGCAAATGGCAGGATTTATTTTCTTTTTATGGCTGAGTGATATTCCATTGTGTCTATGTGCCACCTCTTCTTTATCCATTCGTCTATTATTGGGCATTTAGCTTGCTTCCATATCTTGGCTATTGCAGATAGTGGTGATAAACATAGGGGTGCCTATGTCTTTTTGGATCGGGGATGTTGTTTTCTCTGGGTAAACTCCTAGGAGTGGAATTACTGGGTCAAATGGTATTTCTATTTTTAGTTTTTTGAGGAACCTCCATCATGCTTCCTGCAGTGGTTGCACGAATTTAAATTCCTACCAACAGTGTAGGAAGGTTTCCCTTTCTCCACATCCTCACCAACACTTGCTATTTTTTGTTTTTTGGATAGTGGCCCTTCTAACTGGTGTGAGGTGGTATCTCATTGTGGTTTTGATTTGCATTTCCTCCTAATTAGTGATGTGGAGCATCTTTTCACGTGCCTATTGTCCATTTGTGTTTCTTCTTTGGAGAAATGTCTGTTCAGGTCCTCTGTCCACTTTTAATCCAGTTATTTGTTTTTTGGGTGTTGAAGTATATGGGTTCTTTATATATTTTCGACGTTAACCTCTTATCAGATGAGTCATTTACAGATATATTCTCCCATACTGTAGGATGCCTTTTGTTCTGCTGATGGCGCCCTCTGCTGCACAGAATTTTTTTTGTTTCATGTTCATTTTTGACAGAGTGTACTTTAAAACAAATCTCTTTGATATTCTATTTTGATCTCTTTTCTCACACTGAAAATCTTAGTTCATAAACAACATGAACTATATACCATTTTATTACTAACAATATGATAACAGAATTGGTTTATTTTTTGCAGTTGTTTTTTCCTTATTATATATTCCAGTAGGGACATGTGGTTAAATTACTATATTTTAAATCACTTGAAATGACTCTTCTCTTTTGTGGTTAAGCCACTAACTGAATACATATTTATTTATGTGTATTTGTTTCCTTTTCAGGAAATTTATGTGTATTTGTTTCCTTTGCTTTACCTTTTCAGATTGCTTTCTAAATTTTGATTTAATGTTGTTTCTGTAATTTTGCAGAGCAGTCGCATGGCTTCACACTCAAGTACGTTCACTCAGAGAAGCGTAACATACATTCTTATTCTCAACCTCTTCCCTCTTTTCTTTCTCATAGGTATTTATTTTATAAATTTTTGGTTTATCCTTCCATTTAAAAAAATATGAGCCAATGTGTCTCTCTTTAGACACAGAGCACTGGACATGTTACTCTGCACCAGGCTTTTTTCCAGTAACATATGCTAGTGATCACCCCACAGCAATACATGGAGATCATCATCTTTCCTTCCTACAGCTGCCGAGTACTCTGAAGGGGAGCAGAATATGCCCTTCCAAACTATGCCACTTTGGCATATTGATTATTTTGAATTAAAGGTACTTGAAAAACAGTCAGTGCAAGAAGGACGCTCAGCCTCCTGGCAGCCTCTCTAACAGAGTGCATTATCAAACATTGGCCATTTTCGTCGGCAAAAAGTTGTGCTTTAGCACAGATGTAATTTGCATTGCTCTTGAATGAAATTGAGCGTCTCTTCATGTATTTAAAGGCTGTTTGCTTTTCTGTTTCTGTGAACTCTTTGTTCATATCTCTTGTTTTGTTTTAGATTTGCTGACCTTTTCCTTTTTCACTTTTAGATGCCCTCTCTGTATTACAGACATTACCACATTTTCTGGATTATGTTGAAAATAATTTTTCCCAGTTTGTCATTTCTCTTTGGCTTTATTATTTTTTTGTTTGTCTTGAAAAGTTTTCTTTTTTAATCTTTATGTAGTTACACTATATAAAATTATTGCTTCTGGATTTTGAATCATAGGTAGAATGTTTCTCCAAGTAAAGGACAGTTCTTTCTTCTTCCAGTGTTTTTTTCTAGTACTTCTAGTAATTCTAATGTGGTTTTGTTGTTTTCACATTTGAACGTATCCTGTTATATGACGTGAAGAACAGATCCAGTTTTATCTTTTCCATATGGCTATTCAGTTACTTAAGAGTATTTTTGTAAAGAATATAAATCAACAGTATCAAAGGCTGCGAAGAG